TTATATTATATTATTTATATTATTTATTTATAAATATATATATTATTATTTATAAATATTATAAATATTTATAAATATTATTTATAGATATATATATATTAATAAATAATTATTTATATAACATATATCATCACATTTATAATGATTTATAATATAATTATTTATTATAATTCATATTATATTATTAATTAAATATAATTTATTATAATGAATCATTGTAATATATAAATGAATGAAAATTAAAAATATCGCAAAGTTATTAGTCGTTGTACGTGTACGGTCGACAAAGATCGCGCGTGTTTATATACATATCGTATACGTGATTTGCGTCGTACGTATATGTCGAATTTTGTAGCGGTTACGGCGACGACCTCTAAAGGCTTTATTCCGTGTTGGACTTTCGACGCAGATACATCGGAGCGGTACGCAGTAAAACGAAATTAATAAGGTAACAGAAATAATTTATTCTTAACATTTATTATCAACCAATATTTAATAATTAATTAAATAATAACAATTACGTATCTCATTTGTTTATTCATTAGATATATATATTTATTATTCGATATTGTATATTACAATAAATATTCGTATTCTACACTTCGTTTGTGGTAAAGAAAAACGAAAAAAGAATGTTCGCGTGTTACTTAAGATTCGAGGGAACCATATATATAACGATAAAATCGACGTATAATATTTCGTGGACAAAAGCGTATAATGGTTTCGCGTGCAAACGCGCGTTACAAACACGACTCGCGTTCACAGACGTTTCCAATATAAGGTGAATCAGCGATTGGAAACGCGAATTCTGTTAACCGTGAATCGTAATGACGATGCACCGATTCGCTTTAATTCGGCCACGCGCAAATGAATCGCTTTAGCGACTGTAGGGGCCCTGTAATCGCCTTTGGAAATTCTGCTCGAGGCAGACCTCGTGGTAGGCTAGCCGCAATCGAATGTCGATCTCGTAGCTGTGTGTCGAGGAAATTTCGGGGGGGAAGGGACGAACACCTACCTCCCTCCCCGCGCCGTTTCGTCAATCTTGCGCCCGGTAGCATCGATTCGTCGCTTTAACGAATTTAATCGACGCTCTAATATGCCGGAGTGCTGGCCGGAAACGTCGATTTCGCGGAGGAGTTTCCAATTTTCGGCGGCGGGCCGAAAAGGAGGNCGAGGGGGGCGGTTTGACAATTTCGCCGGGGAATTTTTGGGGGTTGAAGTTGTGCCACGGCCTCGTTTCTCGCTCCGTGATTGGTTTCCTCTCGCCTGCAGCCCTGGCACACATTCTCGCGCAGCTAAACCGTAAAATTAGACCGACAGAGGTCTCGCCCTCCTCTCTTTTCCGCGTTCGTTTGATCTCGGCTCGGATACGCGAACGATCGAACGAGGGTTTCTTTCGAATTTAATAATATTCGGATTACACGATAAATTTACGAAGAGGGAGGCCCCTCTCTTTCTTCCATCTTCGTGATTTCTATCTTCGAAGACGATGAATTCGCGCGTAAAACGAAAGGGATCCTCGATTTATTTTCGATTCAACGGCGAACGTGGAATTTCGACGATGATACTTCTCGCGACTAAAAAACGCGAAGTTTCCTACTCGAATTCGAATGATTGGCTCTCCCCCATCCTCTTCTAATCCTTCAGCCCGCAAATCCGATCGATGAAATTAATTTCGTCATTTTTCTCCCGTAACAAATTCAATCAATTTCTGGGGGCGGCTATCGGCTCGCATAACATAATCCCGTATTTCCATTTCGATCGCTTTGCTTTTCTTTTTTTCCTCTCTTTCTCTCTCTCTCTCTCTCTCTCTCTCGTTTCCGCCTCTTGACAAACGGAACAACGGGTATCCGTCGGTTTCAGAGGGTGGAGAATTTGGTCCGGGAAACAATCGGGCCGCACTTAGCCCGATTCCGCGTTTAATCGTTATTTTCAATCGGTTGAAAATCGAGAGGCTGTTTAGGTAGCCCTATCTAGAACGTGTTTCAACGTGGGGAGGGGAACAGGGGAACGAAGAAGTGGATACGTACGAGTAGTCGTGGCGCTTTTCGTATTGCCTCTTGACATCGTACGATCGAATCGAGATTCTTTTTTTTTTTTTTTTTTTTTTTTTTTTTTTT